GTGTCTGTCTGTCTGTCTGTCTCTGTATCGCCTTGTGTCTGTCTGTCTGTCTGTCTCTGTATCGCCTTGTGTCTGTCTGTCTGTCTGTCTCTGTATCACCTTGTGTCTGTCTGTCTGTCTCCGTATCGCCATGTGTCTGTCTGTCTGTCACTGTCTCACCGTCTGTCTGTCTGTCTCTCTGTCCGTCTGAGTGTGTGTGTGTGTGTGAAGGTCAGCACATCCTGCTCCTTCCCTCAATCTTTGAGAATACAGGCTGCTTGTCTTATCACATCGATGGAAAATGTGCCGCGAGACCATTGGTGACTGTAAAAGCAGGTGGGGGCTCCCTGCATTCAGGCTGCTGCTCCATGGTCTACACCCCTGTGGTTTCTGTGCTTTATATGGCACAGTTTGTGATGACTGAACCTCTAGATTTTGCCTCTGTGAGGAGCATTTCATGCACTACACTGAGTACCTGAACTGCTGCAGAGGGTTCGAAATGACAAACTTTACATATCGCTGAAATCCATCTGACCTGAATTTGTGGGGGTGGGGGGGAGAAACCTCAAGGAAAAATGTGCCTCTTGATAATAGAAAACATTTTCGGGCCTCTTGGACTGAGTATCGCATGTGATTGTAACACTGGAAGCTGGAATAATGGTGCCAATCCTCCCATCTGCTTGTTAAGTTCACAACATGACTGAGAGGCGCAGTCGGTGCTTTGTCTCCCCTGTGTTCCTTCAACAGGCAGATATGAATCAGTGCATCATCTGGGGGCACCGGTAAAGGCTCTGTTTATCTTTTAGCTTGTATGACCTGTGAAATCCTCCTTGTCCAACACGTTTCTGCATTGCCAGATAAATCATAGGAGTGGCATTGCCCATGTCGGCCGATGAACCCAGAACTGTTTAGTCTCTGCAGATCCCGGCTTGGTATTTCTCTCCTGATCCCCTGTCTCTCTCTCTCTCTCTCTCTCTATCTCTCCCTCCCTCCCTCGCTGTCTGTCTCTCTCTGCAGCGTAATCTGCCATGATGACTGAACCAGGCTCCGGCCAGACGACATCACCGCCCCCCCGCCCCTCCAGCAGGCCCCGCCCACACAAGGCTCCCAGCAGTTTGACGGGGTGCAGTTCCCCCCCGTTGCCGGCCACAGCACTCCCGCCAGGAAGAACCAGGTGAGAGACATTCCGAGAGAGATGTCAGAAGATTCGAGTGCAGTTAATATTGGAAGCGTGTGAGACAAAAAAAAGCCTCTCAGGGCCCTGGATTGCTTTCAGTGATTTATTTGAAAAGCTGCCTTTGCGTAATAACAGTGCTGGGTAATGAGAATATTTACTAAACGTACAGGACGTCTGTCTGCTTGCACAGAGCACAGTCCTGTGAAACGTTGTCTTGAGGTTTTTCACAAAGGCCTTAATGAGATCTGTCAAAACTGGTAGCAGCTGCAGAAGCAAAGTGGTCTTGAGGTGTGTGGTTTAAGATGTTCCCCTTTTTACTGTTAATTAGAATGAAACTTTATGGTGCGTTCCATTTGCCCTCGGAACTCGGATTCCGAGTCGGATTCCAAAATGACAAACTTTGTGACGACATGCGCGCTCCCGTTTCTTGGAGATCCGAGAAATATCCCGGACAGCACAGAGGATCCAAGATGGCTGCGCCTTTTTATCAACAGAAGGGAAAGTTGTAGTTTTATCCTTTTTAAGCACTACTTCTCATTTGTGGCTCATTAAATCGGTCACACACACTTTACCGTTCAACTTATCTGTGGACGTGTTGCTACGGAGTTTTATACGTAAAGCACCGCGCGTAATGTGTTATCAACTGATATTGCTAACAATGGCTATCAGTTAACCTGGCTAGAATTGGATTCCATGATAGTCGGATTATTTGTCCGATTTAAGGTAATTTGGGCTAATTGTAAGTGAACGAAGATAAAGGCCATTTAAACTGAGGTACCTTAAATTCGACAAGTTGTCCGGCTAAGCAAATAATCTTGCTTTTTCATATGGGTCCACGGTATTGCTACTTTTGTGGCAAATGGAACGGGTTTTCCCCGCGTTTTTAGCGGATGTGACGCAATCTCGGAATCCGAAAATCGGATCCCAAGGCAAATGGAACGCAGCATTAGTCTGGAGTCTGTGTGTGTGTGTGTGGGGGGGGGGGTGTCTACTCGCTCTGTGACATCTTAACGTGGACACCGCTGTGCAGCTCTAATCACAGAGGAGCTGCCGCTGAACCCCCCCCTCCCCCATTGCCACGGAAACGGCTTTGCGACAGCTAGCCTGACGCAACGCACTTCATTTCCATAAGTAACCTTACTGAAGGCGGAGCGGGTCAGGGATAGTGAGCGTGTAGCTGATAGGGGGGGTTTGGGACCTGTAAAATGTGTCGGTATAGCTACAGTGGGGGGGGATGTTCCATCAGGTTATACCGGCATATGGGTCATTTATGGATGAACCTACTGACCTTCTTAAATGCTGGCTGATTCTGCACGTCATGGCATTCATGCTGTGTGCTTTCCTCTCCAGAACGGCCGAAGGGAGACCGAGGACCCCCCAGCAGCCAGGCCTGAGTACCAGTCATCAGAGGAGAAGGCGTCCAGCAGGCCGTCCCGGTCCCCTTTGAAGAGTCCCAACAAAGGCAAAAACATGCAGTGCAAAGTCACGCTCCTGGACGGGACCGAGTACAGCTGTGTGGTGGAGGTGAGGGGCATCTTCCGCGTTACCCATCACCAAGGGAGGGGTTAACTTAAACTTATACTTAGTTATTTGTGCATGTAGTTATTTATGAATCTTGAAGTTGCTTTTTATATACTCTGTTTCGCTCTCCACACCCCAGTAGGGCTGTGCGATATGACGATATATATATATATATATATATATCGGATGACGAAATAAAAGCGTCTGTCGTTTCATATTATGTTCTATCGCTGGGGTGGGGAACCTGTTCCATGGAGTGCCGGTGCGGGTTTTTGGGATGGCCTCTCAATCAGCCAGTAACAGTGGGTCCCCAGGACTGGAGTTGAGAATCACTGCTTTATTATTGGCTGATTGAGAGGTCATCCCAAAAACCCGCACCCACACCGGCCCTCCATGGAACAGGTTCCCCCATTCCTGTTCTATCGTTGGTGTCGCAAAATACACTGTTTAAGGCAATACTTCATCATTCGGATGATGGTTTGAAATGTTACACACCACCACGTGGGATGTGACACTTGTATGGAAGATTTTATTGTACTTTATTATTTGAAACACACCGAAGGCAGTTCAATGTGTTTGCCTGTGTAACCTTGGGTTGGAATTTGAAAGGACAGGAGTGCTGGTTTCCCGTAGTACTCGTATGGTCTGTGCCCTTTTGGTCTGTTCTGGTCACTGCAGTCTGTGGTGTAGCTTCTTAGATCTGCTGCTCATCAAATGGAAAGGCAACACGCACGCTCAAGTGTCATACGGGGACATCGGAGACATTGTTTGAACCATCGCTGTTCTCTGAACCGCTCGAGTACACTGAGCTGCCGGCCAGCATGTTCTGAAACAGAAGACATTGTAAAAGCACAATAAGTAGCCTACAATCATGACAGAAAGGCTCCTTTACAGTTTTCACCTGGTAGGCATGCGGGTCATGGTGAATGTGTTTGGTGTGTTGTATAATATGACATTTTGCAGGTTTAGAACTTTCAGGTTTTGTCACTTACACTACATGTGTGCAGAGAAATGCTTTTTCATGTAGTGTATGATTGGGTATGAAACTGAAGCAGCTGCCTTTCTGTAGCGTTTATTTTGTCGTGAGGAAAAATTCTGGGGTTTTATTTTTCTTTTACTTGACAAAACCTGCAGATTTAATTGCAAATCCACATTGTGGGATTTTGGTTTTTGAAAATAGCAGCTTTGCAGTCACAAGTCATATTTATAGAGAACAAGAGAATTTTTTTTAAATAACCAAAACTGCACCCACATGCCAATTGGCTTTTTAAATTCCGTAAGTAGAATTTACGAATAACGGCAGAAATCCTGCATCAAGATACACATCCCTTAGACTCCTCGCTTACTGCTACAATAACACAGTGCTTTACTGGCCGGCACCCTGTCCCAGCGTGTCTGTTCCCTTCTTTATACTCTAGCTCCTTCTGCACCACAACTACATTTTAGTCAGTAGCTGTGTCTACTGTGTCAAAACATGGACATTATCGATTGAACGGCAAGCAGCAGATGGCTGCGCCCAAGTGTTCCGTATCTAGGCGTTCCCGTTTATTTAGGTTCAGACAGCTGCACAGTGTGTTCCTGCATGACTCGCGGGTCTCTGCCAGTGCAGCCGGGGAACATGTCATCGACCGTAGTCCCTTTGTCCCCGCCCACTGAATCGCCTGCTATAAACAGCACTCATCAAAGTTTTTCTACAGAGAACCAAAAAAAAAACAATCCCCGAAAACCAATCTACTTTGCACTGCTTTCCGACCTGCTGCGGATTGGAGAAGATTAGCATTAGCGTCGAGTCGAAAGCCTGACGAGTGTTTGTCGTCCCAAAAAGGAAGTGAGTGATGTCATGGATTTAGCGCAAGGATGGGCCTGTTGCCAAGTGCACATCACTCTACCTGATTCTAAATAATTAGTTCAGCTCTCTGCTGAAAGCCAGGAAGCTGATTTGGTTAAATAACTGCAGGATGTTTCTGTGGTGTGATTAAAAATGTCCACTTTAAGCTCACCAACATGCCTCAGGTGGTCCTGAATCATCGCAGCCTGACGGCACTGCAGCCAATCTCGCCCCTGCACATTCTCCCGCTTTGGTCAGTCCCACCCCATCGCCTCCAGAAGTCACAATGCTTTTGCATTCTTAATGTCCCCTTGGAGCCGATGTAAGCATGCGGCGTGGTGAACTAACAAGCGAGGGCAGTTGCACAGAACCACGGGTCAGGGTGGATGAAGTCGGTGAACCTGGAGGAGAGTCCAGAGGGACCCTTTATTCAGAAATGAATAACTGACCATGGATAAACTTATAAAAATATATCATATTGCTTTGGCCTTTTTGTCATAGATTTCATAGCTTTCATAACTTTTTCTATGCATAAGCATAGAAAGCATTTTTTGCTTTTGAGTTGCTGTTGAGAGCTGCAGGTTGGTATGAAAGCTTAGAGTCGAAATAGCATCTGGGTTGCGGGCACATCTCTGTAAGCTGAGATCTGGGTGTTAAATGCCCTGGAAGATGCCAGGCATAACTATAGCACTGAGCCCAGCTCGCAGTTGAAAAAGGGAGACGGGTGTTGAGTACCGTTCTCCGTCCTTATGAATGACGATTTCGTCGTCCACTTACACAAATTTTATACTCAACTGATTGGTTGAAAGAAATTCTTGGTCTGAATTTGTACTTTTTTGGATCTGAACTTTCCACCTCTGTCTGTAATGGATTACATTTGTGAGTAAATCCCCCAACACTGTGTGTGTGTGTGTGTGTGTGTGTGTGTGTGTGTGTGTGTGTGTGTGTGCGTGCATGCACATGTCAGCGTGGGTGGAGGGGGTTGCAGCGATTCAGATTCCGCCTCCCTTTTGCTCCCCTCTGCGATTGCTCGGAGGGGAGCCTGTGATTGCCGAATGCGTTGCTCTGGCGACGTGACGCCGGTCTTTCAGCCCTCGTCTGCGAATTTGCCAGTAACTGTCTGCATTGTCTGGGTGTTGTCGGCCAGTGCTGCTGACACGCTCATCCACAGAGCATCGTTAAGAGCTGCATTGGTCTCACCTCACTCACACGGTTCCAGTGAATGTAGACAAGCTGACAAATGTAGAACTTCTTAAAAATCGTGAGTCCAGGCCAGTTCTTTTAATATCCTGAGTGATCATTTCAGGAATGCACACGCTTATGCAGTCAGAACGTGTCACACCTACCAGATAGCAAGATATCCTAACTGGAATTCCTATTAGCGCAGCATGTTTTTGGCAGATATATCTATGTGGTTTGAATGGCCAGCAAATGGCTTTGGTTGGAATGAGCATGGTGTTCTGTTACTTATAGGAGGGGCTTAATTTGCCATGGTCCGCTGTGGTCTCCATGAGCGTCATCGGACTGCTGTCTTGCAAACCTTTGTCTTGAGACAAAGCCATGATATAATGTTTATCCGGAACATGGTCGTGGTGCCGTCCGGACCATAACAATCATGGGGCCGACGTATGGCAGCGAAGTGAACGCCACTTCTCGCAGATGCTTACGCATTCTGCTTTTATCTCCACATGAGAGAACTCCCGTTTTCATGGTTGATTATCTCGATGTGACTCATAGCTCGCTTCCCCACTGTTTCTGGCTTATGTGATTTGTGTTTTATATGGTATCTGCAGTAATGAACAAGGCTGTTTGGAACAGCAAAGACCTGAAAACGGGAAGAATTTGGGTGTAGTACAGGTCATGGTGGTGGTGGTTAGGGAGGTGCACTTATAATCGAAAGATTGTGGTTTTAATCCCCGACCAGCAAGCTACCACAGAGGTACCCTGCACAGGGTACCGCCCCCAAGCACTGCATCCCGGGCACTGAATTAGCTGCCCCCTGCTATGTCACATACGGGTTAAATGCAGAGGACATATTTCGTTATTGTGCACTGTGTGCTGTAGTGTGTCAACAATGACAACTAATCACTTTCTCTTCCTCCTCCTGCTTCACCATGCCTGGAGAACTGAGCCTTATATGCAGAACAGATGACAGGTTAGGGCTGGGTGGGGGTTAAGGTTGTCACTGTGGGATTAGGGCTTTTTACATATAAATCCCCACAATACAAATATATGTGTTTATGTATGTGTGTGTGTGTGTGTGTGTGTGTGTGTGTGTGTGTGTGTGTGAGGGCTGGCACCTGTGTCTGTTTTCTTGTATAGGTTTGGTTAAGTTTTCACAATATGATTCTGCACCGTTTTTCAATTTCCAGTGTTCAAAAACCCATGAATGGCTTATTGAGGTTTTCAAGATTGTTGTAATGGTCTGTACTATTTTATGGTTATTTATGAAGTTTTTACCTCTTGGCTTATTCAGTCTGTTTTAATATCCATATTCTCTGGCCATGAATATAGCCCTAGTTGCTGGCATGGTGTTAAGTCAATACAACATAACACAGTGTTTATTGAGGTCTTTGTTATGGAGATTTGTTTCACGTTGGACACCTTTTCCTTGTATAGGTGTTGACTGTGGCTCTCAGGCAGATTAATTATGCTGCTGATCTTGTCCCACACGCCATCCCACGTTCCAGCACCCTCTACTTTCTACATCTTTCACACTGTGGCCTCCGATTTTGACCTCAGCCATCCGAAGTAAATCTGCGCTTTATTTTCATTGAACAGAAGCGGGCCAAGGGCCAACTCCTGTTTGACAAAGTGTGCGATCACCTCAACCTTCTGGAGAAGGACTACTTTGGTCTCACGTTCCGGGACATGGAAAACCAGAAGGTGCCGTCCCCACACCTCTGTTATGAAGGCTGCCATGTTTGTTGGTGTTTGGTTTGATTTTTGTTGATAATGATCACTGGTATGTTCGTTTTGCAGAACTGGCTGGACCCTGCCAAGGAACTGAAGAAGCAGATAAGAAGTAAATCCCCAGCTGTCACAGGCCCCTTTCAATGGCTTCTGTACATCATTTTGATCCCTGAGAAGCTCACTTGTGTTATTGTACACAAATTATTACAGGTGGCGCTTGGAGTTTTTCTTTCAATGTGAAGTTCTACCCTCCGGACCCTGTGCAGTTATCAGAGGATATCACAAGGTGAAGCCCAGAGCCCAGCCCCCAAACGTGCCGTAGAGAATCTATGTTGTAGGGGAATTGTATATGAAGAGAACCAATAAGAAAGTGGGTGCAGTGTCTCTCAGCCTCTGATTGGTCTAATTGTGTGAATGGCCCTCCAATAGGGGTACAGAGATTACTATAATTTCCTATGGTTCACCTACCTTTTTTATATACAGGTACTAAAATGCCTTTTGTCATGTACTGAATAGCTGTGCAATTTTTTTTTTGCATTTAAGCGTGTTAGTCGCATCTACTATTAGGCAATATTATACATCTAAATTTTGCTAAATAAAGCACCTTTTCACCACATTGTGTTATCAACATTTAACTAAACAAAGCACTGATGTTTGGTACCTTTCCCATTTTTACAATTTCATGCTTGGATTCATGTATTATTAACCCTGCAAATGCCCAGGGACTGGAGGTTTACACGCAGCCACCAGGGGTCACTGTACTGACTAACGCTCCCCGGTTCCTTAGGTATTACCTGTGCCTGCAGCTACGTGACGACATCGTGTCGGGCCGCCTGCCCTGCTCCTTTGCCACACACACCGTCCTGGGCTCTTATACGGTCCAGTCAGAGCTGGGGGACTACGACCCGGAAGAGCTGGGCGTCGACTATGTCAGCGAGTTCCGCTTTGCACCCAACCAGACTAAGGAGCTTGAGGAAAAAGTCATGGACCTCCATAAAAACTACAAGTGTGTGGCTTTCTCTCTCATGCTAAATTCTGCTGGATCACCAGTTCACTGTGGAAACAGGTTCCCAAATCACATATCATGTTAGCCAAATAGGCTTGTCTAGTGCAGGGGTCTCCAACTCCAGTCCTGGAGAGCTACTATCCAGTAGGTTTTGTATCCTACCTGGCTTCTGATGAGTCACACTTGTTCCTGGAATTTGCCTGAGAACATGTATGACTCATTAGAAGCCAGGTAGGATACAAAACCTACTGGATAGTAGCTTTCCAGGATCGGAGTTGGAGACCCTTGGTCTAGTGGCTACAAAGATTTGGTATATGGAAGGTCACTGTTTGAGTTTGGGTGATGTCATAAGTCATGAGTCATTGATTGACAGGCCTGTGTGTCGCCCTAGTTTAGTTGAAAATGCAATTCATGCCCAGGGCTTTCTGGAATAGCCCACCTCTGGTCACAGTCTCTGGCAGCAGACAGGTAAAACTGGAGATAAGGTTTAGTTTCAATGGGATTATTGTCCAGTATGGTGCCCCTTGTCACTCACCACAAGAGGATAGAGCCATCAAATCCTAAAAATGGTTGGGTGATGTCTGCTCTTCAGAAGCAGTTTATGCAGAAGAAGTGTATGAATTATGTGCCTGATTTGCACAGGCTCGTACAGGTGGGGAAAGCCATCCTCTGCTTAGATGTATGAGTTTGTGCCGAGCACAGCATGGCAGGGCTGACCTACTGGGGAGCATAGCAACCAGGCTTCTCTCTCTCCGTTCTCCCCAGAGGAATGACGCCTGCTGAAGCAGAATTGCATTTCCTAGAAAATGCCAAGAAGCTCTCCATGTATGGAGTGGACCTCCATCACGCCAAGGTAAGGAAGCCTCTCTGGGCACCAGGAAAGGTGGTGCCGCCAGTGGGAGTCACACACTGCAGTTGTTCACAAAAGTGACAGCATGTGGCACCTTTGATCACGTACCTAGCTGCTGTTGACATGGTCTGTGATAGGAAGACCCAGGGACCATACCCTGTTCTTTGGGCAGTGGGATTTCTCTGGAGAGGGCCTGTTACCCGTCTAAGTGCCGTATCATTGGTTTTTGGCTTGCTGGTGTCTGCGTGCTGCCCCCCACGGTGCCCCTTCTCAGCGAGGGTGGGGTTGGCAGCACCCATGTTGGCCGTTAGACACAGTACTTGCATGCAGCAAGTGCTATCAATCATGTATATCCCACAGCAAGTGTGTGTATATATATATATATTTTTTTTCTTTTTTCAACCTCTAAATGACATTAAAAGAGCCAAATGACAACCCATCTTAGAGATAATTAAAAGCTTTTTTGTTCAGACATTGCCTGGGGAAACTTCTGGAACTAACGCTGGTCTGTCGTGTGGGCTATCCTGTTTGTCTTGTCTGCTGTTGTCACTGTGGTGCCATCTGAGCTTGTCTGTACTTTAAAGATGCTCACCCACATGCCTCAAAATTAGGACAGACTAGCAGATATGGGGTTTAAGTCTGCACTATAGAATAATCTAGCTGTGAAATATTTACAAGTCATTGGTTCTCATAGAGTGTTTTGGTAAAAATGCATAAGTAGGAGCAACATTTCCCTTCGTTTGGTTAGATCAGTCTGTGTCTTTTCTCTTCTCTTGCCAAATGGCCTAGTTGATAGGAAGCATCTTTGAGTGCTTGGCTCCAGCTAAGAGGGAGGTAAGGCTGCATTCTGTGTGTTTCTGTGTCAGATGGTCCTTGTGCATGACCATAGAGTGTAGACCTCATCATCCCAGCGGCAGCACATGCGCTGAAGTGCCGTGGCTGGGTTTCTGTTCCCAGAAGACTAGTGTGATGAGGACAGGGTCCCTGCTCAGAATCTCCACCCATTCACAGTTCAGACCCGCAGAGGACTCGCTCCTAGACCCCCCCCGCCCGCCCCCCCACCCCTTTCATCATGCACTCCAGTCATTTGGGGCAATCCCTAAATTAACCCCATCCTGTATGTCCCTCCACAGGCGTTTGGTATCGATGTACATCTCTGGATGGGTTCGACAGCTTCTCCTTCCTCGCAGTCACTGAGTACAGCCTGTAAAACAGCAAAGCAACCAAGTAAACAAGCCAAATTGCTCGAAGCCGTGTCTGACATTTGTGTGGTTCTGTATTCTCTTTGGCGGAGAGCGCATCAAGGTGGCGTCGGCGGATGGGCACGCCATGAATAAACAAATAAGTGTGTGCGTGCCTGCTTGTCTAAAATGCCGTCTAGTCATTTCAGACAAAATTCAGGCATAATGTGCCTTTCCTCCTTTTGAAATTACGAAAAATGCACATTATATGAACATAATTTGAAAGCCTATTTTCTCTTCTTTGCCGGACATTGACACTTGTAATTTGAACATACAGTTAGTGCAATTTTCCTGCGGTGTGCAAAAAAAAAAAAAAGTGTTTGTCTGTAGCTTCGAAACGTGAATATCAGGTGTCCATCTGAATAGTGGTTGCTGAAACCTCGTTTTGATTTTGAGCAGTGTTGTTTCTAGCCCCTAAGGGCCTCTAACATTAGGTATCTGCTTTGATCTGTTTTTCTGGTTTTGGCGTGTTCTCAGTACTCTCCGATTTCAGCTTACTTGGTGAAGGAATTGGGTGCTGTTGACACTCAGCCAGCCATAATATGGGAACGACCGATGAGAACCCATTTCCCAGTCATAACCTCCTTCCCATTCTGAACCTGTTGATCTTTGTCACACGGAGCTCAAAGTAATTCTGTGGGTTCGTGTCTGGGGGAGGACAGACGGGCGAAGAAATGAGCGGTGCTTGTGTCCACAGGACTCCGAGGGCGTGGAGATAATGCTTGGGGTCTGTGCCAGCGGACTGCTCATCTACCGTGACCGGCTGCGCATTAACAGGTTCGCCTGGCCAAAGGTTCTCAAGATCTCCTACAAGAGGAACAACTTCTATATCAAGATTCGCCCAGGGGAGGTAAACACCGGTCAATTCGGTCGCATTCATAATGAAGACTGAAACCGTTCAAAGAATATGTCCCTTGCTTTCTTGCTCTGCATGGTTGTCTTGCCCTGAGAATCATACACGCTTTTTGAGTATTTAGTTGCTAAGCATACTTCTGTTCAAGAGACTGTTACTTTTTAGGGTTTAAGTCCCAGTACAAAAGCTCACATCCTGTGGCTTGAGAACTTAATATCAAAGTGTAATATCTGTATTATTAAGGCTGGTTTTTGTATTGCGGTTTTATTGAATGCTTCTTATCCGGTAGAAGAGAAAGAGCTTGATGGCCCTCTATCTCCAGAGAAGGCCTTGAGAGAGGGCTGCTATTTCCCCTTGTCTGCCAAACACAGCAGCCCAGTAAAATGAGAATGTTTTTCCTGTTGTTCTCCGTCCCTGGGTGGTTGATGAATGTTGTTACACCATCAGCCACTATTCTTTACACAGCAAGTGCTCAAAAGCTGGGCCTGCTGTCAGAATCCTTCTACCAGTACTGTAGGGTTATGGGAGTTTTACTTGCACAAAAATGTTCTGAGGGCAGAAGGGAAAATGATTGGTTCAGAGAGAGAACCAATCAGATTGTAGAAGAGGTAGGTCCAAGCAACTAGAGGAAGCGGGACCAACCTATCAAATGCCTTGGTCCCGCCTCCTCAAGTTGCTTAGACCCACCTCCTCTACAATGTGATTGGTTATCTCTCTGAACCAATAATTTTTTCCTTCTGCCTTCACAACATTTTTGTGTACCTAAATGCCTAGTTGTCCCCTTTGTGTGTTGTATCGCCCCCTCCAGTTTGAGCAATTTGAAAGCACCATCGGCTTCAAGCTCCCTAACCACAGAGCGGCCAAGAGGCTCTGGAAAGTCTGCGTGGAGCATCACACATTTTTCAGGTGAGCTCTAAGCAGACCAGTGTCCTAGTTCTTGTCCATGCTAGGAGGTTAAACCTTTCCCAGAAAGCCAAACCTGTATTTAATGTGCACTGGTGGGACCTTTCTGTAAAAAAAAAAAAAAAAGTCAGGTTTTAAAATGGGTCAAGCAATTTATAAACTCTTGAAGTTTTGTTTTATTTTTTTGGTGAAATGACCATCATCGTTTTTACTGCTACACTATTGAGCATAAAATAAATAGCAGGGTCACTGCTGTCTCTATGAACGGGTTTACATTGTTCTGCAGATAAGATCTTCTGTTACTGGCTCACCGATTTTAAGATTGCTGGAAATCTCTGGTGTTTCTCCACTTCAAATTGAAAATGAAAGGATAAATATTTGTCTGCCTAGGTTCTGTTTACTCCATTCACCACACTCGAGTGTATAAACAGATTACAGCTTGCAGGAGCCAAACACATTGTATCTCATTGGTTCAGATGTCCACTCTCTGATACCTTAGTAGTTTGTCCATATGAAAATGCTGAGGATATTCATCTCTTGTTTATTCCGAGCAGTCAGGCAGCCAAAGCCGATTTGATTACTGGGCTGCCTCTCTCAGAAATTGACAAAGCGTAAAATTAATATTACAGTAGATTCAACACAGTGTTTTGAGGTACCTTTGGTAATAAAGTTTAGGCTGAAGACTACACATAAAACTTGGATTATTGGGATATTTTAAGGGTGAATCGGTTTGTCGGCTCTAAGGGGCCGCGGCTGCGGCGGGGGGGGGGGTGTATGGGAGGAAGCGTGTATATTTCACTGTGCACGTTTCCCCAAGCGATTCTTCGCAGTCAATGCCAAGCGTGCCCGGCTGTCACACTGTGCCAGCCGCCCCCTACAAATAGACCGAAGTGTGACTCAGTTGTAGCCAAGCATCTGCTTTGTGTCGATGGCTAGCAAAACAAATCTGATAATGTTATTGAATCTGTTAACAGCCTGTCCGCGAAGAGGTTGCAGTTTGCTTTCTTTGACTGAAAACAAAGCCTGCTTTTATAAGCGGCGCTCGGGTCCAAGTGTCTAAAATACACTTAGTGTGAAAGAGACTTTTTATTTGCATGTGATGGTGTCACAAACATATGAGGAGCTTTTTGCTTTTTTAAAAACCAACACCTGATATTTGAAGGCAGTTTAGTACATTTTAAACGGCAGATCACACCACAGTGATCAGTGGATTTATGTCTGGTTTGCTTTGTGCAGCAAAAATTCTGTTAGTAGTACTGTAATTGGACTGACTAATATGGGTAATTAGCATGTGACAGACACCACTGTAATTAGGGACTGTGACATGAGGGGGATAGAACTGCTAATGGCATTGAGATTGGAGTGTTGTCCAGAGCCCCTCCCAAGTCCATAAGCCCCCTTCTTTCTCCCTCCCTTTCTCCCCACCCCCCCACCTCCCCCTCAGGCTGGTGTCCCCGGAGGCCCCCCCTAAGAAGTTCCTCACGCTGGGCTCCAAGTTCCGCTTCAGCGGCCGCACACAGGCCCAGACCCGGCAGGCCAGCTCGCAGATCATGCGGCCCGGGCCGTACTTCGAGCGCTCCGCCAGCAAACGCTACACCATGTCCCGCAGCCTGGACGGGGGTGGGTGACGTCAGTCGGAATCCCACACCTTTAATCTGGAGCAGGATGGCTTGCCCGTCCGGGACCACCCTCCACACCAGTTTATCAATTCCTCCCAGACCACCAGCGATGTCTTTAATTATCAAGGCGTGCGAGGGACAGCTGTGATGTATGGCTGGTGTTAAACCAAGTTTTGATTTGCTGTGTGCCATTTCCAGACAGCGGGGATTACCTGTTCTGCTCTGTGGAGATATGGGGAATTTTCAGTGCCTTTGTTCCAAAATGTAGTTTCTCTCAGTAGCGGCTTAATTAGAGACATCCTCCCGTTTCCATGGTACCCCCAGTCCAGTGTGGCGGCCAGCTGCCGTTTGACTGGCTGCCACCGGCTGAGCTCTGAGCCGCCCACGGCAGGCGTGCTATTGCGCGAATGCTAACGCCTTCGTCCACTGATGAATCCCGCTATAAAGAGAGCACAGCAGTAGTTTTCAGCGCAAAAGCGCTCTTTCTTCATACAGCTTAATTTTATGTGGCTTACAGGTGAAGGTTGTGTCTCTCAGTCCACAATTCAGCATGGTTTTTTGGAGATTAGCCAGCATATTAGACTGTATTAAGAGACCATTGTAACTGTCAGGCAGCCTGCTGTCCCTCACTCTGGCTTTCCCTTATTCATTATTCACTGTTGAATTCCCTCGGGTTTTTGAGTCATATGTCTTGCGGTGACTTCCACAGCTACCTGTGCCCCCCCCACCGCCCTCGTCTTTGGCCTCACAGTATGGTGCTCTCTAAGTATCTGAAATGAGATACGGGCCTTTGTGGAAGGCAATCTTCTGGATTTGATTCAACGTCCTCCTAGAGTGACTTCACACAAGGAATGAGTAGCGGTGCTTTTTTGCGTGCTGCTTCAGTCGCTAAAGACCGTTTGAGGCTAACCCCGATGAATAATACGGGTTTCTCCTGAGCTTTTTTTCTGCATTTTTAGAGTTGTCGGTGTTAGCATACGTTTCTCACAATGAACATGCTGTGAATTTTAACGAAGTCTTTTTCCTCCTAATTAGCATCTCCTCTATAAAATAACTTTAGTGACTGACAGACCCCGAATACTCATCATAGCTCTCGCCTCCACTTTAGAGGTGGGCACTGTCCAGTACAGCACTGCCAAGGCCATCGCCACCAGTGACCTGATCACCACCGTGACGCCGGAGAAGAAGGCGGAGGAAGAAAAGGCTGAGGAAGAGGAGGAGAAGACGAATGTCACAGAGGCATCGGAGCCAGCCCCAACCACGCCAGTCAAATACGACACCAAGGTCCGTCACGGTGCCTTTCCGTAACATTCCACCTTGCGCTTTTTTAAATGTGTAGGTCTGGTCCTGCTGTTTGGTCACAGATTCATTCCAGTTATACTCTCCAAAAAGATGGAGACGTCAGAGAATAACTCGATAAGGAAACGGTTAACTAGGCTCTCTTCCAAAGAGCGAGTCAAAGTAAAACTGGAATTAAAACCACAGCATTCCAGAAAAAGGTGGAGGTCAGAACAGTCCTGGTTACTGAAGCACAGAAACCGAAACAGGCGGATCTGAATGCCTTGATGTGTTTGGGGGAGAGGAGGTATCTTTCACCTCGACGTTCACGAGGCATAATGAGTGTGAACCCTCCTTATTCTCACCTTCACCTATTTATGGATGCAGAGTGAGTTGTGGACACACCAGGGTGGAAATAATCTAGACAGAGGGTTCTAGTGAGCAACTGAGTCGTCATGTCGCATCTACATTTAAATATATATGTAAATCCCTGCAGCCACTAGAGAGGAATTAAATGAGGTAGTGGGATCCCTATAGGTACAGCTTATACATTTTGATTGCTATTCAGGTCAATACACATGGATGGCAGCGATACTGGTATAATGTGTAATGAGATACTTTCCCAACATAGCAAGAATAAACCTGTAACTCCCCTTATACCCTAATAATCATAATAATAAGGGGTCACAGTTGGCCAAGCTCCCAGCACGGCTCAGGTGTTGCCAAATGAAGTGTTGGCATTCAAAGAATAAGCAATTGCACTTAAAGCAATCGCAAAAAAAAGGGGGTAAAAGTATAGCTGTTGCATTGTGGGTAATCCCTTAACCGAGCAGTGCCTGAGATGCTACCGCCATTGTTGTGACTGCGTTAGCGTTACTATATATCTCTGAATGCGAGTCTTGAAATACCATCAGCTCCAGACGAAGATCGTCTCCCTGATAGCCGCCCTGCCGTGACCTCCATGATGTAGATGATGGTTTCTGATTTGCTCTATACTAATTAGTCTTCTTTCTTGTCCTCTCTTTGACCCTGCACTGTACTTGTGCGTGCGTGTGTGTGTACGCTCCCCGGCATCCGCATTGCCCTTCCTACCCCCCCCCCCCCCCACATAGCCCCACCCCTTCTCCCCTGACCCACTGTCCCCTGAGCTGTCCCTGCCTTCCTCCCCGGTGTCGTCCGCCCGTGTGCGGCGGAGGCGTAGGGGGGGCTCCCGGCAGCGAGCCGTGTCGGTTAGCCCTGCCAAGAGCGGCGCGGGCTGCCGGTGGCGGCAGGCGTGCGCAGACCGCCGGGAGGCGCTCCTGGAGGAGCAGGCCCTACTGCTGTCCGCCCGCAAACAGCGGCTGGACCCCCGGAAGGGCGGCACCCTCTTCTCCTTCTCCCTGCACCTCCCTGACCTGTCTACCTTTCTGGACGAGGATGGCTACCTCGCCTTTCCCGACCTGTCCGAGATCCGCCTGCTCCCCGAGAGCGTGCAACACCTCCTTCCCATCCGCTCGCCCTCTCTCATCCCCTGCTTCCTCTTCATCTTCTTCTTCTTGCTCTCTACCTCCTTCTCCGTCCCCTACGCCCTCACGCTCTCCTTCCCCCTGGCTCTGTGCCTCTGCTTCCTGGAGCCCAAGGCGGCCTCCTTGGGCACCTCGCTTGCCCAGGGCCTGAATTACAGTTCAGAGGAAGAGGTGTGTCCCTCAGTCCGAAACGCAAGGCAGCTCCGTGGCCTCGTCAGTGCCTCAGTCCTGACCCGTGTCAGTGCTATCTCAGTGCTCCTTACTTTCAGAACCTCATCTCTGCCCCGCTGCTCGATACCGGAGCTCTAAAAACCTCCCGGCTCCTCCTGTTTTGCTAGAGATGTTTGTCATGTGTTCGGTGAGGGTTACACACAAAGTTTGGTTTTTTGGTTATTTATTAATTAGAAATATGAGGTAAATGTATAATGACTCTAAACATTCTGCACTCACAAATTTTAAATATCTTCTGAATAATATCATGCAATCTTTCCACATACACAGCTGGCTGTAAAATGCATCGCTAGTAACCAACTAACAAAAGCACCCACAAACCTCTGAAAAGTTTTTTTTTTCTTCTCACAAAAACCATTTAATACTCCGAAAGCTAATCTCTTGTACTGAATTTTACTTGCCTTTGTTCTTATCAATATGGCAGTTAAAAGCAAAATGTTAAATTCCTCTGTAATTTATGCAAATACACTTTGTGCCAACCCTTAATCAGCCTGCGCGTAAATCCATCGCAGTCGTCATCCCATGGACTGAAAGCACCATGGCAGCAGCTGCATGAAGCACACATTACAACGTGCCCACGTTGTCTGTCCTGTGTAGGAGTTTCTCTGCATTGCGACTTGCCAGTGGCGGGCTCGCCCAGTCAGGCCATATTAAGCCCAAGACTGGCTTACCTGCTTAACTTCGCTTGGAACTAAACAAAAGCAGTTCCCCTTCAAAGAAGAGCGCCACCTTGTGGAGGCACCGGCTGTCTCCTTGACGGAATATCCCGCCTACAAATGCTGTGCTACCTTGGATGGCATCCCCCCCCCTTCCTGAACGCCAAGACAGCTGCTGATTGGTTTATTGTGGCTCTGCGGATATGTCCCTGGCCAAACGACGTCACCGCACGTGGCAGAGTTGATGCAGATAGACTGCTCCACCGGTGCTCTCATTATATATATATATATATGGCTGGTAAAGAGGAGGCTCTGAAAGTCAGGTGACTGCTTTAGCAGAACAATATTTCCCGGTTTATAAATGCATAGCCCAGTACGAAATGTAAGGACAAAGGTTAGCCATTCTGAGGCTGTCTACCTCCAAAACATTAGTGAAAGGAATGTCTCTTAAAATTGGGCATGGGATGAAGTTCAGCCGAGACACGGGCACCTGGCTTTTCAGATAAAGTCCAGCAACAGGGTACTTGTAGGTTTGCCTCCAGGCTTTATTTAATTTGAGACTGCAGTCCATTGTGTCACACATTCAAGTCCCCGAAGATCCAAACTTCCTCTGAGTCTGTCTGCAAACTTCAGCTTGCTTGCCTCATCTTCCACGGTGGCCGTCCGTCTCTCGCTTGCCTGTTTGCCTCCACGCCAGTCCCATCCGTGAACGTGAACACGTGAGTCTGTGTGCCCGGGCTGCTGTTCGCCGTGCACGTGAGCCACTGATGAGACAGGTTTTCTCTCTGTTTCCCTGCCTTCCACTCGGATTCCCCCCGTAACCTTGTCTGGTAAAAACCTAAAACAGACCGACAGTGAGCAGACTGACTTTGCGTGCGACGGAGAAACGACGGCCACAGAGGTGTGTACGTCTGCTGCTCCCGCCGGCTCCAAACCCCCTGATGGGAGGCTCGTGTGCTTCTGCATGTGATGCTAAATCGATTGCTAGCAGAAGCCAGGGTATATTTTTAGCCGCCGTGGTGATGCACTTCGGTGTTTCCTCTTTTCTTAGCTTGTGTCCGTAAAGGACGGGGACAATGTCTGCTACCGACTTGGTGGCTGTTTCCTTTAAGTAATCAGCGTAACTCCCGGTGATACCACTGCTTACCACCAACCTCCCACCTGCCAACATACTTTCATAACCATTGAATTAAATGACCTTTGTCGTAATTCTGTTCTGGTTTTTATACGAGCTTTAGTGACAAATGACACGAGCGGAAACTGTTTATATACCCTATTACAGTAATACCCTGTTTTTCAAACATCCATCAAAACATTTAGATTATTTCTGTTTTTTCACCCGTGACTAATATTGATCTTCAACTAATGTGCCTTGAAGCGAAATCAGCATAGAAGTCTGTATTGCAAAGGAATGAGATTCATAAAAGCCTAAAGAAGGAAACGAAATCGAATTACCATTTGAGTGAATCATGCAGGTTTTGCTTTATTTTATTACGCATAATAATGTATGGGAGGCCGTGGTAGACAGGATGTCTCCAGAGCCTCTCCAGTGATGTGACCAAAATGTCTTGGGCAGGGGGAGGGGGACCGTCAATGTACTGTCTTTGAGGCTCAGGGTGTGTCTGTCTCAGCCTGAAGGCTTCCTCAGCGGATCCCGATAGGTTTATTTATTGCACTGTCCTGCATCTGTCCTCACCACGCTGTGTTCTCCCCCATTTCAGTCCTTACTCTGCCTCTAACTATCTTTTTTCTTTGCTTTTACTCAATGCTTTCAGTCGGACCAGGAGGAGGAGTCAGAAATAAGGACTCAGGTATCCGGGGTCCTGTTTTGCTCAGTCAGTTACAGGCCCTTCTCTTCCGTTGTGGAGTCACTGTGAGATGTTTAGGGATGAGACCTAGATGTGTAGGGGCAGTAAGAATTTAATGTTTTTTGTTTACTTTGTTTTCTGGAAAGAGGAAGTGGCATGTGACCCAGGTTCTGGTCGATCTGGTCTCGAGATTCACGCCTGAAATCTGAGCCATACATTTGAATTTGTCCACTTAAGCATCTCCCCACTCCTCTCTCTCCAGTATAGCTTCATAAGGCGAGTGAAAGGGGACAATGTATTTGTGAAACACAGTAATCTGATGTTAGAGGTTTGTATGCGGCAGGATGCATGCAGAATGCTTTCTTTTGAGAAGCTGAACCATGTACGTTAACATTAACTGCATGGAGACCTGATGTCTCTAAGATTTTTAAGAAAACAAACTGGTTGTTAACTGTTTTTATACTGGCCCGTTGTCACTGTGCTCGTATGTATTTTGGTTGCAGTGTTTTAATAAGCTAATGCCATTTTTTACATGAGGTGTGCTTAAGACTTAACACCTGGGTATTTTGGATGTAAACACTAGGATTCATTGTTGTGAAGTGCTTGTGTTTAGCCTTCCTGACTCTGTAGAAGGCATGCTTGTTTTTAGTACTTAGTGAGGCCAGTTCAGCGGTCTAACCCAGTGATTCCCAATCCGGTCCTCTGGGAACCCACAGTCTGGCTGTTGTGTATATCCATGTTTGTCCCCTTTCCTCGAGCTCCCTGCCAGACAGTCCACATTTTTGCTCCCTCATAGAAGCAAAAAACGAGGACTGTCTGTGGGTTCCCAAGAGCAGGATTGGGAAACACTGGTCTAACCTATTAATAGCTAAAGTTATATAGCACGTCTGAGTGGTCTCCGCTCCATCATCTGTGCCACCTCCTTTAATTAAAATCAACAGCCTATGCGTTTGTGTGGATTTTTTTTCCCTTCTTAATTTTTAATCGATGGTTGGCCAGGAATCTGCAACCCCAGAGGAGCTTGTCAAACGGCAGACCAATATAAGCGAGTTAAAGAGGTCGTTTTTGGAGACTGGCTCGGACACTTCCGGGCTCACAGAATGGGAGAAGAGGCTGTCCGCGTCCCCCGTGAGGTCCCCGAGGCTGGACGAGGCACCCATGATCGAGCCCCTCACGCCCGAGGATGTAAGCTGCAGTGCTGATTCGAGCAGGACTGCGACCTCACTGTGCTTCTCGGTTTCCGTTATGATCTGGGTGTTGCTAAGCAGCCTCCAAGGTGGTAGGAAACTGTAAGAAATTAGAACCCTCTGGTTGTTTTATGCCCTTGAAATGAAGGACTTCAGTTTCTGACGCTCCAGTAGATTGGTCCGATGCTTTGGGGTGCAGCTGTGCGACTGTCTGTCACGATTTTTGGCTTCCCAGCCAAACTCCTCATTTCTTATTTGCTCTGCTTGTTCATGACAAACCTGCTCATTCTTAAACATGAAGCAGCCAGATGAGATGGGATTTGATGGTGAAAGAAAGATGGGATAGTGCAGGGGTGGCCAATCGTATCCGCAAAGGGCCGGTGTGTATGCAGGTTTTTGGGATAACCTTTTGGTCAGCTGTTCAAACCCAGGTGTGAGGACTCTTCAGCCAATCAGTCCTCTAATTAGTAATCTAATTAGGGAGTAGCAGCGAATACCCACATATGCAGCGGCCCTTTCTGGATAAGATTGCCCATCCCTGCAGTAGAGTATGTTAGAGCTTTGTCTAAATGGATAATCTGATAGGATTTCAATTGTCATTGAAAGCATCCATTATTTCTTTGTTTCTTTGTCTCTCTTAAATCTTGATGGCTGTTGTGTATATAACCAAAGACTGCTGAAGAAGTCATGTACTCCTATAAAAGTGCATGCCCCAGAATTTGCATCACTTGGGATTTGTGTTCAGTTAAACGAGAGGTGTCCCAGAAAACGCAACTCTGGCCAGCGCCCATTGTTCTTTGTTTGGTCGCTCAGTCTCTCTTCTGCATCTGCAGACCAAAGAAGACTCTAAAGCAGCCAACGCGGACATCCTGAAGCACAACGCCAGTGTCCCTGACAGCAAACCTGCCCAGGTAGGGAGCCTTTGGCCACTGATCCCAGACCTGTGCACGCTGAAATTTCTCATGACCTCCTGTATGTAGGCTGTTGCCGACAGGTTGTAAAGACGAGCGATTCTTTGGTGACACCTGCCAGTCAATCAGTCACGAACAGCATGGTAGGGTGGGGGGGGGGAGGCGGCGTGTCCGTCGTCTTTGCCTTGAGCATCTCTAAATTAGACCAGGGAATACAGGACTGATAAGGAAGTGGGTTATCAGAATAAGGAATAAGCAAAAGGAAGAAATAGAAGGTTTTGAGTTCCCCCTCCTCTCCCACTAGGCACAGGTGAGCTTACTTTAAGGAAAGCAGAAAAGCGTATTAAATCTGAAACTTTTTCAATGATCAATTTCCTCTACCAAAATCAATAATATGACTCAGAGATTCGGCAAAATCCAATTTCAGTGAAGCCATCCGCAGCTACAGTATGTCTTGCTACGCTTGTTTCGTCCTCAGAATTCATTCAGAATTCATGCATAGTGTCTTGGTTTGAGGGACTTTACACGTTTTCTGTCAATTTGGTGGTGTGGGGATTTAGAGCTGCACAGTCCAGGTTTTTGCTCCCTCCCAGGAGCAAACCGTGAACTGTCTGAGGCCCCGCAAGGATCGGTTTGAGAAACACTGGATTAAGGAGCTTTATTTATTCTGAATCTTGATGGGAATCTATGGGAATCTTGATTCTGTGTTACTTAGGTTTGATGGGGAAAATTCGTAGTTTATATACTGCTTTATATAAGCTTAATGTTACTGACGTGGTGCAAAAGCTTTAGTCATTCATATGTTATCTGTGACACTAACAGCGATGACAGATTCTTTAGTGACTATAAACCTCTTTAGTTTCATCCTAAGTTTCCTTTTCGTTACATGGCGGAGCTTGTTTATGTTAGACGGTCAGATGAGCCATTTAACTTTGAGTGATAAGGGACATGGTGGCACTTTCAAACGCTTGGTTGCATCTCATTCCTGACCTGTGTTTTTCACACTTCGGATATTTGTTTGGAATTTTAAGTGACTATCACGTGGCTTTCCAAACATTTCACCATTTCTTTTGTCTTCCTTTCTTTCCTAATTTAATTTCCGTGAAGATCTGACAGCTGTCTTGTTGCATAGTTTCTTGCAATTTTTCTGTGCTTAAAATCAATAGTTTCAGGCAATTAATCTGGTTTTTATATCTCACATATAGGATTCTATTGTGTGCATTACTGTAAAGAAAGTCCCTCCCAAGGTAGCAGACAAGAAAACCGTTGTCGGCTATAAAGTAATATCTGTGACTAGCGCTATGTCTGACCAAGTGCGAGAAGGTGATGAAACCTTTGAAGATGCTTCCGGTGAGGCAAGTTCCACAGAGGAAAAGATGAAACAAAAAATACAGACCCTGGGAAGGTCCTATGACACCCAATCAGGAAAAATTGTTACCATGACGACTTGTAATGATGACGAATTGGAACAATTCACCTCACCGGAACTTAAAAGGATGGCAGAAAGGTTGTCAACGGTGAAAATCATCCCTGTGAGAGTTGAACCTGAAATCCTGGTGCCCCCGGCTGGCCACGAGAGAGGCACGCTGGGGGCCATCGAGGAGGCCGAGACGCCTTCACCTTCCGAGGACCGTGAAGTTGGCACCACGTCAGGCAGAGTAATAGAGGAGAAGAGGCCTGAAGCAAAACTGCTACAACAGGACGTGCCTCAGAAGGTCTTTGGCACCCAGGAAGTTCAAGGAGACCAGCAGATGAGCTTAACGACGCCCCCTTACGGCTCCAAAATGTCTCCTGTGCTCAGAGGGGTGGTAGGACACGAGACCTGACTCCCACCCCCTTACCCTCAAATGTTTTCACCTCCCTTATTTTGACCGTCGCATGATTTAGGCCAGAACATCCATTGCCTGAATCCCCCTTGGACCTTTGGCTTCTGTGAAATCCTCCAACCTGGTATTGCGTGTGATAGAACATGCAAATTATTATTTATTTTTTTTGTGTTTCTTCACCTCCGTTGTTGGTTCTGCGTTGATGAGCACAGCTTCTGCTTTCAGAGTTTCGCGGTGGCAGTTTTGGGATGCACCATCCATATATATTAAGCAATGACCTGCACTCCAGCTGTCTGGCACGGCTTTAGATACCTCTGTGCTTCAGCCTTCCTTCTGCTCTATGCCCTAGAACCTTCTACATGGCATATGCTGTCCCGCTCTGCTTCTGACTTGTAATTTTTTTAGCCTTATTCATAAGAGATTTTGCAGTTTTTTTTTAATGGTTTCAACGCTTTGTAAAGTAGTGAAGGCTTACATACATTTGTTCATAACCTGATTTATCACCCCTTACCAGTCTTCATATGAACTGTGCATTTAAGAAATTCCAGGAAACCGTAATGAGAGAGGGTCATATTTCCAATTTATCTATTCCAGCTTCTAGAGTCTGAACAGGCTACATTTAATGAAAGCTGTAGATTATGGAGACACGGGTACCAGCAGTTTGGACATGGGTTGCTTACAGATTTGGGCCCGCTGATAATCAGATTCTAATCAGATTCCACATTTGGTTGTACCGTCTGGAGGTAGCTTTTTGCTCTTTACTGCCCCCCAGCTGCTGAAAAGCTTGCCTCTTAACTGCAGTGTGCCATGTGTCTCTGAGGATGCTCTCACCGTCATTTCCCACTGTGCTACAGAACTCTGCATCTTGTTCTTTCTATTTCTAACCCTGAGGCTGTGCTGCTCTCTCTGGCGTACTTTTTTGCTGGTGAAATAAATATTGATGCTTGTAGAGCTTTTCTGAACCTGCCTGCCCCCCCCCCCCCTAAAAAAAACTTGCAGGATGCATGAGCAAGTTCTATAATGTAAAATTGTTCTGCAGTGTATGGGGCTGTGGACGTCCTGAGGTTTGGTATTTCACTTAGTCACCTACTAGTCCACATGAATAAGCACATGTGCCCCCCCCCTCCCAGGGGCCAGACTGAGCTTTGGGGGTCACCTTTGCCACCTGCAGTACCATGGTGTGCCATCTGCTGTTTATAGATATTTATTTTAGCATGTACAGCAATGGTCAGTCTCAGTTTTGATGTGCAGGCTTTGCCTTCCCTTGTGTGCATATATTTGCATACATTACTGCTGCAGCATCCTTTTCATGAAGTTGCAGTCATACTTCCATCCCCAATTGCTGGTATCCCTTTTCGCATGAAACGTAAAGCTCTCATCCTTAAGTTGAACACAGTCTGGTAATAGTCTGACTGCCAGATGCCACAGTCTCAGCGTGGCAATGTCCCGCTGCTCATTCAGCCAATCCTGGACAGCGACAGCTTCATTAAGTGTTTGCTCTTCTGCCAACCAGGGGATATCTTGGTCTCTCTGTAGGATATCCCTGACTTCATACCCTGGGGTTAGATAACAGAACGCCGGGCTTCTCTCATATAAGCTCTTATGAATAAGTCCAGAATTACATCCCCCTGTGACTTGAGATCAGTCTGCCTTCCTTCCTGTCCTGTATGTTCAGTGTCTCCTTTCATTTTACTCTGTGTTGACTATCCATTTCTCTGTCTGTTCAGCCTAAGCCGTCCTCTGAGATGTCGCCACAGCTAGCTGTTCTGTTAACATCTGCGAGAGGTCAAACCGGCTCAATGGGATGGGTCACCTCTCCTTCACATAGTCAGATCATTTCCAAGGTGGCCATACCCTCTTCTAGTCTGTGTGCTATGGTGTTATGAATGTATAGCAGCACATTCCCTTTATATCCTTCCTGTCACTTCTTCAAGACCAGCGCTTTGTACCATGGTCAGATGTTCCTCTTGTCCGCAACTTTCCAAATGAGTAAAACCAGTAACTTACAGTAATGCAAAATAACACAGTAATGTATTCTTGAGGACCAGATTGCTCTGTCAATGACAGAATCTCCTGTACATAGACAACACACAGCAGTACTTCTCTTCTTAATGCTTTTTGCTCAGTGCTTTGATTTTACTCAAGTTGTGTCAAAAGATCCAAGGGAATGCTTCGTCAAACTTGAGATAATGAAACATACCATTTGTATGTATTCATAGATGCACTGTCAGCTGCATGGGATTAGCAACAGGTTAGCGACACCGTGGTTTGAGGGTGTCCCTAGAACCTTCTACATGGCAGTCTGCCACTGAATGCAGCATTGTGTTGTCTTGCAGACGACAGATACGGTAACAGCGAAGGCACATCCCTCTGTGGAAGCCGAGCAGCCAAACACCACATCCATAAGAAAGGTGCAATGAAGACCTAAAATGCTCTGATTCGTTGGGGCTATAGCAGTCTGGAGAGGGAGGCTATCCAAGGCCAGTGGATAATGGTCAGGGTGTGGGCCTGCCCAGTAGGATTGGGCTGCCAGGACCCAGTGCGGACACAGGCACTTGGCAACCTCACAGTGAGATCTCCACCCTTGGCTGCGGTGAAGAGTGGTTTGGGCAGCAGCACATGGGGTCAGATGCCACATAATACTTCTTCAGAAACTCAGTAGTAATGTAGCTGTGCGTGAAACTTGCTTTGGCCTCAACGGGCAGCAGAATCAATCATGCAGCATGGGGCTTGGATAGACAAGTATATGTTTACTGGGGTTTCCTTTTAGGGTTGATGTGGAAGGGGTCAAAAAATAGTCATTTCAGACAAGAATTTGGGACGGACAACCCCAGCAGCACTTTCAGCTCTAGGTCTGCTGTTTAGGTTGGGTTTACAGACATTAAAACCAAGCAATTTATACATTAACATTTATACATTCTTTTAGCAAAAAAACTGATACCAGAATGGACATAAGGCAGATCCAGTAGGCAGGAGTATCAAGAGTATACAAATGCAATAATATGTTAACGGTTACAATCTATAGACGATTGCCTAGTCTTATGCAGATATTACTATAAGTAAATCATACACATGAATACTTTCTGAACGTGTAACAAAGACTGGCTCTTACTTGGGATTGTTGATCCTAGTAGTGTTGGGTTAAACTGTTGTCCTCACAGTAGATGCTTGTCGCTATTTCTGACAGTCCCCAGTGTTGGAGACGGAGACTGTGAATTTCCGTAGCATGGAGGGGAGAGAAGAGTTTGCCATCAAGGATGTTCCAGTCGTCCACACAGAAACAAAGACCATTACTTATGAATCATCAATGGTACGGATCCTTGCGAATAGGCTCTTTAATAAACATATTTGGCTCTTCTGTAATGTCACCCATCATCTGACCTTTTAACATTTAAAATGTTATTTAATTAAACCATGGTACTTAGTGGAAGTTACATTTCAAATCTTTTTTTTTTGTCGTCTTATCCATAGCATTATTATTCATGCGTCCCAGTGAGATCTAGAATTGTTGTTTCGCTTTAAGGGAAAACATACCCAAAGAGCAGAAGTTTTACAAAATACTACTAATATAAAACTATAAGTCCTCTACATGGCAACATTTTAAGCCCTGAATTACATGGTTTTGCATAACAGTCCTGCACTGGAGCTCCCAGCTCCTATCTCACCACTTCCCGTTGTGTAAACAGGGTGATGCCGGCTGTGACTCTGACCCTGGGTTGCTGATGAGTGCGCAGACCATCACCTCGGAGACGACAAGCACCACCACAACGACACACATAACAAAGGTCAGAGGTCCACTGGCTCTAACCCCAACAATAACTCACAGGCCATCTGCTCTTAAACTGTAGCCAGAGGGTCTTGGCAACCACTTTTGGTTAAGCGTAGCTGATCATTTGCCTGTCATCAAGGTTGTTCACGTTTTATAAACCTAGGTCTTTTTGCTTTCCCTCAAGACTGTTAAAGGAGGCATCTCAGAAACTAGGATCGAGAAGAGAATTGTCATCACTGGAGATACAGACATCGACCACGATCAGGTAATATTTCCCGCCCTTTGTCTGTCGCCTAGCTGGAAATTTTAAGGACGAAGACGCCCTCGTCTTTTGTTTTTGACGTAATTGCTGGCTCTCCCTCATAAATGACATGAATGGCATGTTAGGGGTCTCCTCTCTGCTTCTGATCATGCCCGTTCCACCCCCTCTCTGTCTCCCGCCACGCGGTTCCCTTGAGCTAGGCGCTGGCTCAGGCCATTAAGGAAGCCAAAGAGCAGCACCCTGACATGTCAGTGACCAAAGTAGTGGTACATAAAGAGACAGAGATCACGCCCGTGGAGGGGGAAGAGTGATGCAGGTAAGAGGACAGCCACTGCAGGCAGCTTGCAAGCAGGGCCCTTCCTGTCCTGTCTCTCACTGGCACCCAGCTGCGCTCATGAGCTACTAACCAGGACCTGCTTTCAGCATGGACCTCTGCCGCAACAGTGACTCCATTTTAATATAACAATATTGAAAATTAGTAATTAATAATTAATATCTCGGGTAGTAATCTGGGGAACTCTAGGTGCATCAAAGTCAAGTATTCAAGTTGCTAAATGTATTACGTGTGCAGCATTCACTATATCTGTCTAAAAGATTGCTGTACTTGTTTCACTGACCTGATCTGTTCTACTTAATAAGTGAATCAGTTCTCACCAATACAATGTCAGCTATGAAAATTCTCAGTTATTTGGTTTTAATAAACCTGCAGAATACCTAATAAATATTTAGCTAGTTAGTCTGTTCCTAACTACATGATTTTGCTAAATAAATCCCTTTAACATCAAACTGAATTTGAATTCTGTCAATTTATGCTTTGTTTGCAGTTTTCTTTAACTGTAATGGTATAATACTTTTATATATTTTCATGTGGTGGCAAAGACTGCAAATTAAACTGCGTGTTAAGAAAATGTTTAATCGCTCAAATTAAGGGGGTTTCAACCAGAATCTGAAAAATATGAGTTTTACACCAGGTAAATGGTTTGGTCAAAGTATGAAAAACATTTCAGGTTGGTTTGCCAGTCAGAGGTCTGCTGTTTCATCTTTAATTCTGAGAAATTATCTAAATACAGCCGGTTGGATATGACCTCTCTCAGCAGTTCTGTAGTTATCAGTGTATATGCTCTGCTCTTTTAAGAACAAGACATAAAAGGCTTTGAAATAACTGATTTCACCGATAATTCACTGCGGTCTGTAATTTTGGAAACTGTTGTACCATCTTCATTATTTTTGAAATGAAGAATTGCTGAGAGATGTGGCTGGCCTCACATAGAGACATCAGCCACAAATCCAGTCCCTTGTATTTAGATCTGGGTCATCTTTCTGCATACCGCCTTTTTGGTCAGGGGGTGTGTGTTTGTCGCATTCTCATTTCCAGACCCCCATTGGTATGTCGGTTCGTGACCCATTTCTGGCTCTGGTGCTGCTGTGCAGGTGTTCCATCAGACAGGCACTCTGCCCCCTGGCCTTTGACATACTGCCTGGTAGCAGTACAGCACTGAACACAACTGGGAAGGATACTATTTAGCACATGCAGCAGATGATTTATTAATGGTTTATCAATAATCATATAAATTATTGCTGGTTTCGGTGGACCTACTACTGCAGAAGAGACTGCCTTATATATTATCTGTTGTGTATGCCCTGTAATTCATTTAGTGACTGTCAGAATTAAGTAATCTTGCAGTGAAATTATAGTCATATACTGTAAATGGGTTTGGGAATATGTATTAAAGAGATACTGCTTTTGCAGAACATTTGGTACAGTTTGATGGAACACTGATCTTTCCATTAACCATGACTTTTGTGGTTAATGTTGTCCCCTTCTTTCCCAAATACCTCTTTATCAATGCTGTGTAAACTGTGACAACAGAGCGCATCCACAATGGAGATGTGAGGCATCTGTTTGCTTGGAAAGCTCTACGCTTTTGGACCTCTGTGTTTCCAGCTGTATGGTGCAGTTCTTACAAATGCAGAATGCTTTGTCTGTTACAGTCATGGGGAGAAGTTCACTCTAACCTTTCTGTTGTGCTCTCTGCGCTTACCCATAAAAAACAACGCCAAGAAAATGTTTTTTTATTTTTTTTACATTGAATGTATATGTTTGCATGTAAATGTTACATTTGGTAATTATAACCTCATTCTAGTTATAACCATTTTCATCCATTCTTTTTAGTATTAGCTTTTATATGAATAATATTAACAGTATGAATACATCATCATTCTAACTAACCATTCTGTATTGGTTTGCAGTGTACATGATTGTGTTTACTAATGGACATGCTTTTTGTATTCTAGGAATGAGACCCACAGTCGAGAGGACTTTTTCCTTAAGAAATAAACATACCCAAGAGGAATTTTATTTTGACGCCAACATACATTCTACAGAAATTTCACTGCTTTGGACTAATAATCGTCCCACCTTTAAAAATTACCTTTGGGGAAACGGGCTGATGTATTCTCAAATCTAGCTGATCCATCCATGGAAAATGCATATTGCATGACAAAAAAGCAATTTTGCATTTTGTTAGACAATAAAATTGTAGAACAAAAAAAATGTAACTGGCTCGTAATCCACCTGCACGCTCGAGAAACAGGCAGAAGTGTCTTTCTACCAACTTATGAACTGAAGTGTTTTAAAATGGCATAATTTCTGTACCTTCATTTTATATGACAGAACCTACCACTCCAGATGATGCTACTGGCCATACAAGAGCGCAGTATTTAACCATTCAGTAGATGTGCCAACCAAATTGCCAAGCTATCTCCATTATCTTATTGATCTTAATCATCTTGCCTGCCAAACAATAGTAACAATAAATGAACCTTAAATTTTAAAAAGGTTGGAATATAATGCGTACATTTGCTTATTAGGCAAGAAATGTGCTTTTTTCCCCCCCTTTGTTTTTACTGTATTTTCCCACCAATTATCCCACAATGAAGATGAAAACGCTAAATGTATAATATTTTTGTGTAAGTTAAAACAAAGATTGGAAGCTATTGCTTTGGGATCATATCCTGTGACACATAGATGGGCCACATCTGTACAATTAGCAGACCCTAACACTTGGCTGAGCCTTAATCAGTGCAGTGTGGACAGCGTCTGCGTGAATCGTGTGCTCTATCCTGTCATCAGCTGCAGTACCATCCATATGAAATGTTTTTCAACATTAGTGAAATAAAAGTGGCAGATGCATTTTTTTTGTGATTTTACTTTGTCGTCTTTTTAATAAAATATACCAATGGGGAAAATTCAGTCGTGCTTAGTATTTATTGTGTGATGGTCAAGGGAGGTTAATCGGGCAACGTAGCAAATGCAAACAGTTATGTTCCAGTCATTTCAAGCATGGTGAATGCAGGTCATTGTGCTCCACAGAACCAATAGCCGTGACAGTAACAAATTCACTTTGTGAAATGTATTTTCTAATGTCTGGAATTATTGCCTCATCAAAATGAAGAGAAACTGAATATAGTCAGCTGCAGTAGAGGGTCATAAAATAGTCACTTTTGCCTATGCAAAATGGAAAGGTAGGAACGTAGTGTAAAGAATTCTTTAGAAAAATCCACAACCCTGTACTGGATAAATGGTTGCAGGATGGATGGATGGTCAGCAGTTGTATGTTCCAATCATGCTTCAGGATGTGCACAGATCCTTTATTACACTGTGTAATAAAAACTAGTCATTTTAAACAAAAAAAGTGCATATTACTGCTACTGAAGATTTCCTTTGCATTGGTACAATTCTCTACTTGTTGAACTACAGGAGCTATTTGAGATTACACATGTCAGAATAATTGATCTTGCATTGATGTCTCTTAAAATCTGAGTTTATATGGGATGATAGAAAATACATTACTTTTACATACAGCTACCCCTCATCCCAACATTTTATCCCACAAATGCAACATTTCTCATTGTTCAGTTAATTTTCAGGAGAAAGCAGACCACCTAAATTGTGACTTTTTTTTCCTTGTGAAAATTTAGTCATTTAAAAACAAATGATCCTTTTAGCAACTGCTTCTCAAGCACAAGGAACAATAATACAATGAATGTATGAATATAACTGGATATTCACCCCTTTTATATTGTATTTATCAGATACTTCTATTTAAAGCAATGCACTTTTTTTTTTTTTTTTTTTAAAAAAGCAGGGTCAGTCCCTGGAGTAGTTGAGGGTTGTGGGTTGCTCGAGGGTTCAACAGAAATGTCACTCTGCCCTGGGATTTGAATCAGCGACCTTCCAGTCACAGGGATAGTATCCTAATCTGCTGAGCCCCACAGTGCCCCCTGCTGTGCTCTTCTGGACATGGCTATGTGGCAACTACAGAAATCAATCAACACTTTATTCACCACAGATCCAACTCGTAACACAAAAAGCACACAGCTTAATTTTTATTTATTTTCCCTTTGGCATCTTTTGATCCTACAAATTATGTAGTAGCTGCTAACATCAAGATAACTTCAATGTTTCTATTAATTAACTTGGCATGAAATCTTTAAGATTTTTGTATTTAAACCCAATCCCAAAAATGTATTAAACTTTGCTTTTGAAAACTACTGCGATCATATCCATGGTGTACCCCAGCCTTGTGTCCTGTACTGCCTAGGATAGGATCCAGGCTCCACCCCTTTGATCCCTGACCAGGATAAATGATTGGAATGATGGACGGACATAAAAAATCTATTATACTTGAAGGACTTCCTTGGAGAAGGACATGGTGTAGGTAAATATGTGGTTGATTTTAGCATTAAGTATTACATTTAAACAAAAATAATTGTATCAGCAAGATTTATCACTTTATGACAAGAATAAATCAGATTTTGGGACATAAGAGAACACTAATGGGAGAAATATGAAGAAATAAGTTCCAAAGTATTTTTGCAAAGTGCCAGATTTTTTTATATCTACAGTATGTCTTTTACCACCAATAAATTCCAAGTTTATTGCTTGAAGAGAGTGCCCCCTGGTGTCGCAGAAAATAAGTATATATAATCTAGTAAAATAAGTTAAATGTAAAATAATTTCTTTAATATTTAATTTTATGCCTATATAGATATATATACACACACACACACACATATATGTGTGTGTTTAGATAATTGAAAACCTCGAATTCCAATATTCGGTTTGTGTTTGAATTCAACAAAAATAATGGGATCTACATATACATCCACTTTAGCAATCGTGTTTTATGTAATGACAATGAAAATGTAACTTGAATCGTTTTTTAAAGATATTGTAACGCTACAATATTTCTGTTGCTGAGTTACTACGGTGAGTCCGTTCCCTACGTGGTCACTATGAACTCACTGCGCATGTTCAGAAAGTTACGCATGCCTGATTCGGGATCAGTCGTCAGACAGGCGTGATCATTTTAGGGCACATTAATTCAAATCAAATATTGTTTAATTAAAATGCATTTAAGTGAAATTGGCATAGTACATCTTTGTCAAAGTACAAGCACTACAAAAACACAACCGTTAATCTAAATTTATTAACATGTTATACACATTTGCACACTTTATAAAATGTGTGCAAATATATAACAGAATCACGGGCACTTTCACTTCTTTGTCGTGAATGATTATCTACGCTCCAAATTAAAATTATTTAACCAATTTCTAGCAATCTTAAGACTTATTTTCTGTGTAGAGATTGTTTTCTAAATGTCCATTGGTCAATGTGGACCCTACATTGGCGCTTAGAGGCCAACGGCAGCCATTTGCAATCAGTTTGCGTACGCGCATAGTCACTGGGCACTTGGACTACCGGTAGTTCCGTGCCTGCGCAGCGCGTCCTTCCGCCAATGCTCGTCCTCAAGCCAATACTGCACAAAGTATTTATTCATTTTTGCTTTGGTGACTTTTCACGTGAGCTTCATTAAAAAGGCACGTTCGTCCATTACAGGTAAGCATAAATTTACAGTTTTTTTTTCATAAGAGTGGCGCCATGTTTCGGGATCCCACGGTGTTAGGCGAAGATGCCTGCGCGCTCACGATTTCAGCAGACGCTCGAGTTCGTGTAGAGGAGTTCATGGCTGTCCGGGTATTGTGCCGCTCGCTCGGGGATGCGTAGCGTTCGCATTAACGCGAGTGCCCGAAACACGCCGCTACCGCGCGAGCGCCCCAAGTAGCTGCTGGACGTGCCCGATTACTCCTGTTCTGTACAGAGCGTCCAGCGCCCAGCTTTTCAAAATGCATTTTTAAGCTGGGCGGAATCCATTTTTAGGATTTTAGAAGTATCTGGGTAGCTCGAAAAATGGCAAAGAGTAATAATATAATGGCACGTGGTCTTAATACAAACGTCATACTGCGGTGTGAAGTAAACTACAGTGTGCAACACAGAATCACCCCCGAAAAGTAAAGTTTTATAAAAGATAGCTAGCCGATTAGCTGTAGCCGTGCGATTGGCGCCATTAAAATCACTCAGTCCTTGACCCCCTTTGTCTTAGTCTTCCGGCTAGTAACGTTGCGGCACTCAAACCCCTTGCTCTTTCCGCTCGTATTCCCATACTTATCGGCTGTACCTGACGCTATTGTTGCCTATTAATGCGGTGTGGAGTCCCCTACCGCCACCGCAGGCCGTCCTCTCGGCGAGAGAGCGCCGCCGCAGGCCCGTTCCTCCTGCGACGGGAGAGCGCCGCGGCTCCGCGAGGCTAAAGCCTAGTATGCGCGCGGTGTGCCCGACGCGCGCCAGTGAGCGCGGGGTGCCGAGGCCGCCGTTCTCGTGCGGTTTGCTCACCTGTGCCTACGGACCCGGGCAGCGCGTCGCCTTTCGTATTTTAACGATTGGTTTTACTTTAGTTATTCGCGTTCATGTTGCGCGACGCCGGTAACTTAAAGTTTATCACGTGAAATATAAATGGGCTTAAAGGTTTTCATGAGCTGTAAACTTGGCTATAGAAACTTGTATACTGTTTTTATAATTCAGTTTTACGTATTTATTTTGTTAAACTGCGTAAATTCCAAATAAACGCCTGAACATCGTGGTCGTATTAATACATTAACATTTTTATATACTGCATGACGTGTGTGTGTGTGTGTGTGTGTGTGTATGTGTATATATATATATATATGCGCTTAAATATCTATAGATACGACAAGATCTACTAAAATACCATGATCCCAGGGGGGAATTCTTTGTATATCATTCCAGTAGGGAATTTACATCGATTCTTTTAAAGTCTTGAAGGTTTATGAAATGTTATTAATTTTACATAATTATTCATCCCTTCTTCCTCTAACTGCTTATCCTGTTCAGGGTTGCTGGATGAAATGTAAAATAACTGATTTATTGTAAACACATTATGGATGTTCTGTTAAAACTGTGTACAAATAATATGAATGGGTTTCTGATTTTTTTATGTTCTCTCTTTTAGGATACTGTGCAACATGTCAGAGACAGTTAAATATGTTGATGATGAACACAAGACCATCTTTTTGAAGATACTCAACGAGCAAAGATTGGAAGGTGAACACTGTGATATTGCTGTGGTTGTTGAAGATGTAAAATTCAGGGCACATCGATGTGTTTTGGCTGCTTGCAGCAATTACTTTAAAAAGCTTTTTAAGAAGCATGAGGTAGACAACTCCTCTGTCATAGAAATTGATTTCATCCGCTCAGATATCTTTGAAGAGGTCTTAAATTACATGTACACAGCTAAGATATCTGTGAAGAAAAAAGATGTCAATTTGATGATGTCTTCTGGTCAGATTCTTGGAATTAGGTTTTTGGACAAGCTTTGTTCACAGAAACGCGACCTTTCTCCACCTGAGGAGAAGACTGACCAAATGAATGCCAAGTATGCCTATGACATTGTCAAAATAACTATACCCAGTGAGGAATCTCAAGAGAACCGTGACCATGATGTACAGGTCCTTGGGGACCACGAAGACAATCCTACGGATGACATAGTCGAGGAGCCACATGCTAACCAAGATTTGGACAAATCCCCCAACAGCGCACTTAGGGTGCAGGAAGCGATTCTGAAGGAGCTGGCCACCGAGGACGTTCATAAGGTGAGCTGTTACGATCAAGAGGTAGAAGCCATGGAGACTGAGCCAAAAGACTTGGGCTCACATGGTCCTCAGACTCTTACGTTTGCTGACAGCATCGGCGAAGTCAAAGATGAGCAGCCGCCAGGATGGACGACTGCAGCCAACGACATGAAATTTGAGTATTTGCTTTATGGGCATCGGGATCAGCTCGCATGCCAGGTGTGTGGCAAGACATTTATCGACGAGAACCGCCTGAGGAAACATGAAAAGCTTCACTCTGCCGACCGGCCCTTCATCTGCGAGATATGTACGAAGGCCTTCACCACTCAGGCCCACCTCAAGGAGCACTTGAAGATACACACGGGTTTCAAGCCGTACCGCTGCGAAATGTGCGGGAAGTCCTTCATCCGTGCGCCGGACCTGAAGAAGCACGAGCGGGTGCACAGCAACGAGCGACCGTTCGCCTGCCAAATGTGCGACAAGGCCTTCAAGCACAAGTCCCACCTGAAGGATCACGAGCGCCGGCACCGCGGAGAGAAGCCTTTCGTCTGCGGCTCCTGCACCAAGGCCTTCGCCAAGGCCTCAGACCTAAAGAGGCACGAGAACAACATGCACAGCGAGCGGAAGCAGCTACCCGGCGGCGCCCTGCAGAGTGAGACCGAGCAACTGCAGGCAGCCGCTATGGCAGCCGAGGCGGAACAGCAGCTGGAGACGATGGCGTGCTCGTGACGGCGACTGCTCTGCCTGCGAGGCAGGGGGCCACCGTAGCTCACACACAGTCTCATTTTGTCTTAGTTTCTTCTGGAAAGTGCTCTGATTAGAACCATTTTAACATTGGATTTACTCTTTAAGAAATTCATTCTAGTGATTGAATGCATAGCATTTGTATCTCTGAAATGTCTTTCCTATTCTTTTGCTGGGGTTAGGTTTCTTGTTTAGCATTTAAGATTTTTTTTTCTCATAATGTTTTAGGTGAAAGAAGAGTTTCTTTGGCATAGATCATACCAAAGCTGTGTCACATTTTCAGGCAGTCTCATATCTAGGGCTGCTTAGCCTTAACTTGGTTTACAATATATGTGCTGTTATACAGTACCAATTTTATCATCAGAAATTTGTAAATAAGTCTAATTTGTAGCATTAATGAGATGATTAACATAGATGCATACTGTATAGATTGATATGTATTTCAGCTTAAGTTTTATGTGTGATCCCAAGATGTATGTACTAGCTGAGGTGTGCAATGGGGGAAATAAACACAAACGAACGCTTAAACGACGCACTTTTAAATGTCTGCTGTACTAAAACCCACCTGCTACTTTTGTTTATGGTTTAGTTGCGTCCTCTTTAATGGTTACCAGGTGAGTTAGTTGCACTCACAAGCACCTGCCACCATGTGCAGTTTGGGTTTTCAGTGTTGCTTGCTGCGCCAAAGAGCCCATATTAGATATAGGTGAGCAATGTGCTGTATAGAAACTAAAAAACAAAAATTTATAACACTGATGAAATTTTGAAATTTGCACGACGAGAAGGTTCTCGTTTTGTGGAAGTTTCAGCTTATGTAGCTTCTGAGTCAGTCATTCGCACCTTAATCCACATTCATTTAAAAAAGCTTACCTTTTCGCTTGGTAATTCCACGTCGCATACGAAAGGTTTATGTTGAGTTGTTTCCACAATGGCATATAAAATTCTGTACTCAAAAAGGTTTTTCATTAATAAATACCTGGTTTAGTGTAATAATACAGTCCAGTAATCCAAGTGGAGGTACACACCTGCTTATTTTAAAAGGAATTCTAGTACTTATTTTTTACATTCACATTTCTACAATGGTTTAGAGATGAAAGATTGATTGCTGCCCTAAATTTAATTGTATTTACATAGAAAAGGATTTATCTATGCAGTTCGGTAAATACGAGACAGGGGGCTAGGTAAAACAATCATGTTTTGAGTGGTGAGTGATATGACAGTTTTGTGTAGTAGAAAACCTGCTAAAATATATATTCATTCCTATTTGGTTGGATTGGTCTTCTCCCACCATTATTAAAAATACAAAGTTTGGCAAATAAGTTATTAATTTCATGGTTTCATTAATTTGACAAAGGGTAAAAAACATCATCTCCTTTCAGTATTAACTGTGCTTCTCCAGTTTGTTCCAATGTATATGCTATTTTGTGATTACATTATACTTTGTAAAATTATGCATGAGTAAATCTGTTATTTAGTATTCTGCTTTGTGAATTTGTACTTCACATAATCGCATAGGCTGTAGGTGTCCCTGCACAAGGATGTCTGGGAAATGCCAAAAGGAGGAGGATAATGACAGTTGTTGGGTGGGAACATATTGTGTGTGGTCTGAGATTAGATAAAGCACATTGTCTAATTTTGTATGTACCTTTCGATTACACTGAAATATGAATTAATATGTTTAATATGTTTCCAAGGTAGAGAGTGAGTTCTGGGGAACAATGTGCATGGCAAGAGGAAAATGTGCTTATAGAGGGTAATTTTACTTGCTTTTAACATTATTTTTGAGATGCAGCCTGCTTTGCAGGTATTTCAACTGCTGCTGTAACATTTATAGCGTGTTTCATTCGAGTACCTGAACGTTAAAGTGCTTTCAAAGGATCATGAGGCATCAGGGAATTTATGGCAAAGTTGGTAACATTTACCTTCACTATTGAGCTGTAACTGATTTAACTGTTCAGGTGGAAGGAAGGTGTATCTAATGTATGCTTTCTGTATCAGTTATTAAATATTACAATGTTCTTAACCATGCAGGCTAGAATTTGATCCTCTCATCCTATGTATTCATCAACAAGATATGTTCTGGCTAGTTGCCTGTGGTTGTGTCTGCCAGAATTAGGGTTACATACAGCCTTCACTCTCTTTCAGTACATCAAGAAAAAATGGCAGTTTTTTGCAGTCATGCAGACAAAACCTTCAAAGAACATGTTAACACTTATTAATATAAACATACTGCCAAACAATGTAATTTCTTTTGAACATGACTCCAATGAGGTTTCATTCCACCAACACTTTTTTCCTTCAGTTTGATATTGCTGACAAATCAGGTTGATGTTCACGAACAACAAAATTTATTTCTAAAATGGCTCTAAAATCAAAAACTTGACAATCATTAGATGTGCCCTTATTAACTGAAAAGACTGACATAGGCTTCTGCCCAGCCCTAGCTTTAGCAATGTTGTGTTTTGTTCTATCCTTTTCAAACAAATTGTGTGCCCCCCCCTTGATCCTCGCTGAGGCCCCCTAGTGGCCTGCACCTGCCCCCCCAGTGGGGAGCCACTGTGACGGAGCTATGCAATGTGTTATTTGTTATCACTCAAAAACGACAAGAAAACAGTTGTGGAAAAACAACTTATGGAAAAAAAATTGTACCGAAAAACAGCTTTCAGTGCAAAAAAATAATCATGTATGGAGACAAAGGCCTTTCTGGACTTCCATGCATATCACTCACCTAAAGGATTATTAGGAACACCTGTTCAATTTCTCATTAATGCAATTATCTAATCAAC